TCGAAACTAAACAGTATAGTCATTATGAGTTGAATAATAATATTTGTTTAGATTTTTCAAAATAATCTAAAAGTTTTAGATGCAAATTTATAAATATTTTTTCCTTTTAAAAAGTTATCAATAAACGTTGATTTGATTATTTAGAAATATTCAAATGAACGTCATCATTTGAATTAACAAGATCATCAATCTCTATTTCATTCTATTTAATATTATTTATGGATTATTGATGTAATTTAATTTTCATGTATACTTTTCATAGTTATGAACGCGCCTATATCGTACTTCACTGAATCTCATACAAAATGTCACATTATTGGTGATTTGCATCTTATTGATTTTCTTCCAACGATTCAAACAATAAACAACAGAATTATATGTTGACTATCTACTTTCATGCAATATGATACAAAAACCTTGCGATTCTCCTTCGTATTATTTCTTTACCAAACAGAAAATAAACCAAAGATAAAAGCAATTTATTGGTATGTAACAATAACCAATCAAAGTTTATATTTAAAACGATTGTTGTTATTTGCACTAGAAAAATAATGTAGCATTAATTTTAAATTAAATTAAATTGCGTTTTCAACTATCGTTTTTAGCTTATTAATCAGAACTCAGCAGTGACAACTCATATATAATAAGAGTACATCATTCTAGTACATATCACGAGACAATTTGTCGATTCTGTCTTGCCTCTTTTATAAATCGATCAACTTCGAACTTGGCTACCAAAGAATTTATTGTTATGATCATATAGATAGTGAAGAAAAGTTCTTAAAAACTATTTTCTTCATTTGTATTTTTCATTTTTGAGTATATGTTTTTGTGTATTATGTCAAATACTTGTTGCTATCAGCGTTTTATGGTATGGATTCATCGAGACACATTGATTATTTTACTTAGTGAATCAAGCTCTTTTTTTAATGACTTTTTTTTATAGGCAGCGCTCCTAATTCAAACAGCTTTTTTGGAGACACTAAAAATTTTTCAAGCAACTTATGAAGAAACTAATAAATATTTTAATATTATTGAGTAAAGAAATGTTTGCTGAATCGGATGACATAAAAATCATTTAATTACCTTGAAATTACCTCAATAATTATCGAGTAGTTTGCGAATAATTGAATCTGTTCACAGCATTCCTAATGAGAATATTAATCCAGAAAATGTCTTTAAGGTGACCGATCAATTCGTCGCACATGTATTGTAAAGAATACTTTGATTGAATTAAGTAATTTAGTTTAAAATATTATACAATTAATCGCCTTAACAAAAATTTTTCTTTCGACTCATAAGAATCTTTTTTTCAGAAAACAATAGTTTTTCAAAAATAAAATAAAGATGTCAATTTAAAACCCCATTTTAAAAATTAATTAAAAAAATTGAAGCTTGATTTTAAATAAAATTCTACGTTGACAAGTTAAAAATAAAGTTCTCTTTTTTGTCATTAAAATTTATGTTTTCAATAAATAAAAAGCTTTAATTTATATTTGTAAAATTTTTTTTCAATTTTATATTTTTGTTTTAATTTTCAGCTTCTTTTTAAATAAAATGTTAAATTTCAATTGAAAAAAATGAACTTTATTTTTTATTTGTTTACATAGAATTTTATCTAAAATCAAACTTCAATTTTTTTTTAATTAAGTTTTAAAATAGGCTTTAAATTGATATCTCTATTTTATTTTTGAAAAAACCATTGTATTCTGAAAAAAGATTCTTATGAGTCTAAAGAAAAATTTTTATTAAGGCGATTAATTGTATAACATTTTAAAACTAAATTACTTAATTCAATCAATGTATTCTCTACAATGCATGTGCGACGAATTGTACTAGTGCCGTCTTTAATAACGATAGACTATATGAAACCTAGGAAATCAAACGTTTTTAGTAAAGGTACCTTTTTACCTACATATAAACTGGAAAATTTCTTTATGCTTCCATCACAAAAAATGTTCCTGGATGGATGGTTCGTTAACTTTCAGCAATGAAGAACAAACGAAGTTTTACTTCTTTTTATCAGTGACATCAATTTACAATTATTTCATTACTACTAAATCATAAATTGTAATAACTCAATCATAATTTTATGTCGATAAAGAGTATTAAAATTTCTGCTATACCTACATTTGTTTCTACAAGTGTGCTCCAATTATTATAAAAAATATTTCACAAAGAAGACACAGTATTGATGAAAGACAATAATTGTAACTATGAAGAAAAAGAAATAAGATTCAATAAACTAAAAAGATATCTTTTTACCTTGTTGTTACGATGTAATATACAATTTTTTATAAGTTTGTTTCATAATGTCTTATCGAAACTTTCTAAAATTATTTAATATTGTAAACTCTACAAAATCTTCTATTGATCCGTTTCGTAATTTTCTTCTTGTTGACACTAAAGAATTGAGCACTTTTCTTTATGTCATTGTCTCTTTTTTTGAACTATTCTTAATGAAACTATTGTATTTTCTGGATGTGGGTGTGGATGTGGTTGCTTGGCTGTGTACATCTGAATCTGTGTATTGGACTCCTTTTCCTTCGCACCTAGTCATATATTCACACCCGCATTTAATTATATAACTAGCATTGCTGCAGATGAGTTTATCTTTACAAGTTACATATACAGTAGATATATGGCAAAGGGTTGCAGACATCTGCAATCATCGTTTCTACTGTGTGTGAATGTACCATCAAACACATTTTAACATAAACTAGTTCACTGGTTAAAAGAATTTGATTTTTCAAGGATATATTTTTTTAGAAAGTAACTCATTAGTTACTTTGCGTCGTTTTCAAATGTTTACGAATTGTTGTTTTGATATGCAGTTTGAAATATCATTGGAACTTGGATTAACTTTCTATTAGGTAACTAGCAAAATAAATAATAAGTTCAATTATCTATAGAACTAAATTACTAAAAAAATGGTGAACGAAGAATATGTGAAGATATATACATTCATTTAATAACTCAATTTTAACATGATACCAATTATCGTGTGGCAACACATAGAGACATTTTTGGAGGGTATACACCATATCGTTGAATAGATCGCAACAAAATCTATCCATCGATACTTAAGCTTGCTCAAAAACCTCAACTGGAGCCTTATGTTAAGAAAAACAAACAAAATGTAACAAGAAAAAAGAACCAAGTATATTTGAATCTAAGAAAAACACTTCCGAAAAACATTGGTAATTAGTCTAACTAGAAATAATAGACAAGATTATTAAGGTTCATCTAATAGACATCATTAAAAAATATCTAATAATGCTCATCAGATAGCTTTTTGATTGAGGGTTAACATAACTTGATAACAGGGTAAATTGTCCGTTGGAATAATGGTTGCTTCCACAAAACTGTAAATGATGACCATAACGGATGTCGCTTATAATCGTTTTTCTCCATTCTAAGCTGAATTGTAAACAGTTATCGTTTTGATTCTATTCTCTAAAAAGCCCACTTGTAACTGGTAAGCTAATAATAATATATCAGATAATTAATATAATAACCTTTTTCCGGAAATTTCTAAATTGTACTTCATGTTTTCAATATCTATTATTTTTGAAAAGACGTTTTTCTCAAAAGATACAATAGCAAAGAGAAGAAAGAACGAGAAAATATATAACTATCTATTACCTGTATAATCCTTCTACTAATACTTAGTGCAAACCTTTGGTGTGCCTAGTTTCACATAGAGAGACATTTCAGCTTTATATCTCGTTCTTCATCAAAGCTCAGACAATTTTGATTTATTTATAATAATCATTTTGGATGTTTATCGCATTTTCAATGGTATTCAGCCAACTTGGGTGCAAAAGTTTATATTTGTTTTCTTTTATTTAACAGAAAATAGTAGGATCTAGTGACTCTTTCTTTGATTTTCTCCTTTCAATAGTCTTGATACCTACATTTAGTTAAACAGTTCTTAATAAAATTGAGAAATTTTATGAAAAAAACCAAATTTAGTTCCAACAACAATATTTAATTTTATCAAATATTATGATAAAATAGCACTGAAGACGCATTATCGAACAACTGATGTAAGAAAAAAACCTATTTTCTTATTCAAAAAATCGTCTTGTAAGACAAAAACCTTGCCTTTAGCAATCACATGGCTTTATTTATGAATCCATCCATCAAGAAATATTTTGTTTGTAATAGAACTCCGAATTACTTTTCAAGTTCATATAGACAAAAAATTCCTGTAGTAAAACTATTTGATTTTCTACCCATTGTCAATTTTTTATCAAAATCGACAGTTTGAATAGTTTACTTCTTTTATTTCAAGTTTTTAATAGCTTGTCTATCAAATTAATATATTCAGTGCTGAAGAGGTCGATTGTAATATGTCACAGCATATTGTGCTAGATGGTAGCACACTTTTCTCTATTGGTTAAGTCTTCTAGTTAGCGATTAGTGATATGACGCCATCTTTAATAAATGACCGAATTTGAAAACTAAGCAACAACAGCTGTTATAGTTCTTACAGGTGGCTCAAGCATGCTCACAACAATATATGGATACAATATCGACGGAGATCTAACATTTGTCAAAGAGCGTAAAAATACTCATAAAACGAGATACATAAAAAAAATATTAAGCAGAAGAACTGCGATTTTCGAACAGTTTAAACAAAATGGATCTGTATTCTATATACACTGCTTTTATTAAGAATATTTTTTCTTTAGTAGTTCGAAAATGGGAACATTGTTTGTAAATAGACTCGTCTTGAAGTATTATGAATGAGATTGTTTGATGTGGTTGGTCAATTTAATCTCATAAATATTTTCATACGCCGACATGAAGAATAAAGAAAAAAACAAATTATTACTCAATCGTTTTGCAATTACACCTATGCAACCAGTCTATTTCGTATATAAACGAGGTAAAATGGTGTGTTTATTACATTCGAAGTTAAAGACAAAGAATTCTAAGAAAACGGTCAATTTCTTATCAACCACATTCAAACATCAACACTAAGATTATAGACAATGACTGAAGCATCTTCTACAATTACTACGGAACCCCCATCCAATGAACTTACAGAATTGGATCTTGCTTTTATTATTGATGCCACAGGAAGTATGGGGTCTTATATAAAGTCAGCTCAAGAAGTGAGTATTAGTATGTATAAACAACAAACTTATATATGAAGAAACATTTTAGAATATGCGAAATATTATTCAAGATATTATTATTAGTGAACGATGTTTATTGAATGTTGCATTAATTCTTTATCGTGATCATCCACCTCAAGATAATACATTTATTATTCAAGTTAATGATTTTACAAATGATGCTGAACAAGCAAAAGCAAATATTGATTTAGCTTCTGCTTCTGGAGGTTTCTTAATGCATTTTATTTTAATACAAAATATTTTAATTGAAAAAATTGATATTTAGGTGGAGATGGTCCTGAAGCTATGACACCTGCATTACATGCTGCTGTTCATACTTTAACATGGCGGAAAAATGCAGTTAAAATAGCTATTCTTATTGCCGATGCTCCTCCTCATGGACTAGAAACTAGCGGTGATAGTTGGCCTGATGGTAAAAATGAATTATTTTTCTTATGAATTTTAATCAAAACGTTTATTTTAACATTGTTTATAGGTGATCCATCTGGACATGATCCAATGGAATGTGTGGCATTACTTGCTGAACATGGTATTACTTTATATACAATTGGATGTGAACCAGCTGCAATAACTTATCGTGATTTTTTCATGGCACTTGCATTCAAAACTGGTGGTCAATATATACCATTAGATAATTGTGCTAATTTAGCTTCGGTCATTGTTGGCTCAGCTAAAGAAGAAATTTCTCTTGAACGATTAATAGCTCAAGTACATGAAGAAGTAATGCGTGAGGCTGAATTACGTGGTGGTCCAATAGATGAAGCTGAACTTACTCGACGTCTTCATGAAGTAATGCATAGTGGAGGTGAATAGAAAAAAAAATAATATTAGCAATTAAACAGAAGGAGAAGAATGCATATATTTTTTTGGTATAGGTGTTACAGCACGTCGACTGAAATTAGACAATCAAAATGGAACGAAAAATATTCCATCATTAACACCAGCTGCTGAACAACTTTCTACATTGACAACATTAAAAGAAGTTCGAGAAAAATGGGTTCCTAATACAGGATTGCCGACAGCTTCTACTACTACGACATTTGGAGGATTATTTGGTGTGAGTAAAACTCCAACCCCTGCTTCTATATTAACAAAGAAAAAGCGCACTCGTACATCGACCATGTAAGATATTCGACTTGTTCATGAATTTACTTTTTTATTAATATATGTATATATATCGGTGCTATATTTTAGTAAAAAACCACCAGTAAAACGAACAACAGTAACTAAAGTAAAAACAATAGTAAAAAAGAAGTCTAAACGAGTCATTGTTCATGGCAATCGTCGAAGTGCTCGTCTAGCACTCAATAGAGACTTTAAAGCAGAAGAAGAAGTATTAACGGATCATGAAGCAATGGAAGTATGTTACTTGATGTAATTTATTAATTATTATATATAAAAACAAAACTTTTTTCTAGACATCAACACCTTCAGTCGCTCCTATTGAAAAACCAGTTAAAATGAAAACTCATATATCACATATAAATTTAGCAGATGATGAATTACTTGATGTTAGTCAAACACGAAGACTTGTTCGTAAATGTGTTGCTCGTAATAAACTCCAATCTAAATGATAAATTTTTTTTTCGTTCTTTTTCTAAAATTCTATCGAACATGTTGTAAAATTTTTTAAAATAGAATAAAAAGATTTTTTTTACTTGAAATACATTTTATAGAGATTGTTTCATTCGAGTATTTCCATTATATATACATCAAGTCATATTAGAAAATTGATTGAACTATACTTTTATTTGTCAATAAGAACAAACCTTTAGTTAGTTGGAAATTTATCGGTAGCAGTAACAACAGTATTATATTGTTTTTTTTGTAAAGCTCCAATTTTCCTGCAAAGGAGCTCTGAAATTTGATATGCTTGAACTTATTACATATCTGTTACGACTAATCTTTTATGATTATAAATAAACAAAAACTATGAACATTGAATATGAACACACTAAGAACTGCATTTTAATGCGCAGATTTTCTTTAACAAAATGACAGCTTTGTTGAAATTGACCAAGTTTTTAGTTTTTCCGATAGATATTTTGTTTTTGTTTTCAGTAATCAATGACATCATCAATCTTACACTGAACATGATAGTAGTTGCATGATTCAGCTTCATTTTTACAGATTTTTATTCAACAGCTTGCTTGAAGAGCCATGCATATGCAAAAAACCTCAATGAAATATCTCATGTGTACTATATTTGTGCTTTCTTCACTATCAGGAACGTTTGCTTGAATACTGTTAACAAAATATATTTCCCACTTGGCATCCTATTGTCAATTGACGGACAAATCACACGTGCTCCCTGCGACAGTTGTTGTTATCGTAAAAAGATAACATGTAAAAGCATATTCAATACGTTACTTTTTTATTATAAGAAAGCAGAAGAAATAACACACTGATATTCTTCGACAGTTAGAGCAATTGAAAACCAAATAAAAAGTATATCAACATTTTTGAATTCGGAACGAACGCGACAGCTACTTAATTATTGTACGCTAAAGAAAGAATTTAAGTTTATTTTGACTACTGGAATGATTTTTCCTTTTCTGCATAATTGATCTAAATGAATTTTGTGATTTCAAGACGAACAGTGTTGTGATAAACATCAATGATTGTCTTTGAAAAGTTCTTAGAAATTTTCATGCTAGAATAGTTATCTTCGTTTGTGATGTGGAACCTTTTACGAATAGACATTGGAAACAAAAAATGACTTTTGGTCATACTTACGGAGTTCGAATGATTTGATCAAGATGTTGAAATTTCGAAAATCGAGATAAGAAGACATTACATTAGATTTGGAAAACTAATTTCTAATAATCATCTTATTCAAAAGCATAATCCTAAGGATTATTTCGAAAGGCGATCATTGAAAAGTTCCGATAATTACGGGCTATCCAAGAAAAAACTTCAGAAAAATTAAGATAATTATTAGAATCAGAGACATCACTTTTTGCTGATCATTGTAGTAGAACTGATTCTTCAAATATACGAATCATCTCCTTTGGACAACCAGATTTCAACTACAGACCTAAATTATGAGAAAATGCTTCAAATCAAGGTAGAAAAAATAGCTGTTTCCTCTTGGGTCAATTTAATTCTTGTAATTTTGCCTCGAATCGTTTACTTAGTTGACTCTAAATTTGAGAATGAAGAACTACTATGCATAACAATTAACTATGAACTTCTAGGAATAATGTCTTCTCGATAGTGCCGATTGGATAATTTTAGAGAATTCGATCTGTTGCTTTTAGTCTATTGATATCGAAAAATTATCGAACTTCTACAATTTCGAATGCCAATTCTATCACGACCAACATCGTCGAATATCTATTGGTAAAACACGCTCTGACCCACTGTGAGTCCCATCTTACTTGGGCCATATGCTAGTCGATAGAGCTTGAATTTCTGAGTCCAAATATCCATGAAAAAATGTTTGGAAAATGAAACCAAATATAGCTCTGTTACATATTATATATTGATTAAAGCTATCAGCCATATACCACAGCTTCACTTAACACGTCATTTTTTCGAACATTTACTTGTTTGAGCATTTGATAAATGGAAGCCAACTACCATTGAAAAAGTGAAACCATTGGATGAGTCGGTTCAAGAGGAAATTATTATATTACTAAATTCAAAATGAATTGAATTGGCAAATCAATTTGACATATTATCTCAAAAATTTAAAAATCTAAGAGAAACCGAAAGCTTTATTGAACAGAACATAACACGATTAAAGCACGTGATGGATCGGTTGATTGAAGATTTAGAAAATTTGACTAAGCCATCTAACATCATTCCGCATGTAAAACAAACTGATGAGATTGCATAGAATCAACTGATTAGTATTAGAAACGGTAAATCTTCTAATAAGAATCAGTTCAATCAGCAATAATCGGCAAGTGATCATATTAAAGAATTTTGAGATCGAAAATATTGTTTTTTCTTTTTATCTGTTACAGATCAGAGTTTACTAATATATAGTATGGATATACCAAATATAATTAAAACGAGAAATAATAATGATTATAATCATAGTGAAACTCATTCATACCAACAAACTTTTAGAAACAGAAAAATTGCTCATAAAAATACATCAAGAAGATGAAAATATTTTATTATATGAACGTGTTAAATTTAATCGTTTTGATGCTGAATCAACTCAGATGAAAAAAAGAGGCATTGGTTGAATGAAAACTTTACAATATTCAACAACAAATCTTTGTCGTATTTGAATGCGTCATAAGCAACTATTGATGTTATGTTCAAATCATCAAATAACATCACAAATAGAATTAAAATCTCATCAAACTACAGAAAATGTTTATATTTAGTTCGATATGAATTTTATTGATGATGGAGCAAAACAAGAAACATTTTGTGTAAAGTTTTAAATCAAGTGATCAAGCAACAAGATTTGTTCAACAATTTACCAAAGTCAAACAAGTAAATGCAAACGTTCGGCAGTAAAGCCGCAAAAAAAGTACTTGATGCAAGATTATCTGATTTTCTTATTCTAAATTGATATTTGTTATACTTGTATACTTTATTTCAGCCTTTCTATAATACACACCTAAATGCCACATGGTGTTTCTTTGAGGCATATGCATCCAAAGCTGCTAGTGTATGTCTTAACAATCTCAAGAATAAAAAGCTAGAAAATATTCGTTGAAATGCAAGATGAAAATATCGATATTGACTTGACATCATTCGTTTTTTGCTCTTTACTAGAGCTCTTGTTTTCTTTTTGCTGAGTCTAAGAAAAAAGCAAATCTTTTTAGGTTTTGTTTGTTTGCTAAACTCAAAATTATTAAAACAAAAAACAGCGCACTACTCGTTATTGTTCGAGCTATAAAATAATTAAAATGTAACTAATTACATATTCAATTGTAAGAACAACTAATTCCAGGCCATGATTAGTCCAAAAGATTAAATTCTCAAATTCTTCTATTCTAATGCAGAGAGAGTATGGTTGATTATTCACAGAGCATTTATTTGTATTGGTAGTCTTATGAGTATCTTATCTTGAAAAGATCGTTTTTTTTTTAAATCTATCTTCAACCTGTAATGAAAATTTTCTTCTAATTTACATTAGGCAGATAAGAAAAACATACTTTTAGTGAGTAGAGATCAATAAATAAAGAAATGATGTTCAATTTAACCTAACAGAATCTTATTCGACATGTATAGAGTATTCGAAATTAAAGAATCGAATTGAGTGCTTTGTGTCTTGCTTTGTACTCTAAGTTTTCTCAAGCTGTCATCTAGTTTATGACGCAGAGTATTGCACCATCACAATGAACTATTCTTCATCTCTCAAATGAAGCTGACAAGAAAATATATATATAGATCTTTCAACAAGAATAAAAATTCAATTTCAAAAGCCATTGAAAAAACTATGAATTTGGCTCGAATAATTTTTCTTATGTTTCTATTACATTCAATGACTTTTATTGAATCTTTATGATGTGCACGAGGTTGTGAGTTTGTTGGTTTACCACTCAATCGTCCATTACCCATGAGTACGTGTGAACACGTAGAACGAGATAATGCCCAATGTTCAGTAATTGTACAAATTGATTTCAAGAAACGTTTTGTTTCTGGTCAATTAAATATAGGAAACAATGCTACTATAGCTACTCTTCGGACCGAAACTAAATTTCAACTAGAGTCAAGTTCGGTCATGGCAACTGTATGATATACATGTGCAATGTTGGATTATTGTGATTTTGAGTTTCTTAATGAACTAATGACTGATAATTTAGCTAACTTGAATGCAATATCTGTTCAACAAAAATTAATTGATTTACTTTACAAATCAACATCTGGTCCAACAGATATACCATGTACTGATGGATTGTGCCCATCTAATAGTTTTTGTCAAGCAGATCTTGAAAACACAGTCACATCACAGTATAATTATACCTTCATCACTTCAACTTTACCATGTTATTATATGTCACCAAATGGTAATTTATTGGAAATTATTCAATTATTTTCACATTCTGCAGCTCAAATAGCGATAATGACTCTTCGGTGTAATCGTGAGGAATGTAATAATAAAAAAACTGTAACAGACGCTTATGCATTGATTCATAATGAATTCACTTTACTACTTAATTATTCTATTCTAAATATTAACACAACTTTAACAACAACAACGACAACAACATCGTTGCCGTCTGATGCTTCATTTTTAGTTCTATCACATAGTCTTATCATTTTTAATAGCTATGTTTTTTTCTTTTATCTGTTTTTTAAATAACGATTAGGAAAATAACATTTACTTTCTATTATCTACTGAAATAAAAGACAACAAAGCAGTTTTATCGACTCCAAAACTATATTTCTTGTTGTATTCAGCAAGCTGAACACAGATGAGAGAAAGCTGTGAATGCAATCTGTGTAGAATTAAATGTAAAACATGATGTAATTGCTGTTGCTAATCACAAGGAGACTGATTTATTCTATCTATTTTGGGACAGATTTTTTCACCATCGTTTTACTTAATACTGCAGAAATGTAATACGAAATTTGTTCATATATGTATTAGAACGAGACTTTATTCATATAAGATCTTCGATTGTGTATCAAGAATGTTTCCTACAACCTGTGATCGATTTCCAACGTGTCTGTCACGGTCTCTGAGGGTGGAGCGAAATAAAAATTTTAACTCTACATTTCAACACCCTTTTGAAATCATGCTGCACAATAGTATATCTTAATGTATTGGAATATATAATTCTTAGAAAACAAAAATTTTATTGTTCATCATTCACAATACGATGTAAGGCTCTTGAATATAAAAAACTCAAGTGTCCTCGATAATACATTTCCATCTAATAGTATTTGTAAAATAACTATCATTTTCGAGAATTCATATAGAACAATTAAGAAATTTGGATTTGACAGATTAATATTTCAAAGCTGCTATGAAACAGAGATTAAATTTCAATTGATCAGTCTATTGAAATGACTCATGTTTCAAAACATATGAAAGTAATGTAACGATTGTTTTGCATAAATACAATTATAACGACAAAGGGAAGAAGATGGGATGACAGACTGGAGGAGTAGCTAGCCGCTACCCTTGGCAATGATGTTTATTAGCTACTTCGCATCTTCAGAATGTCTCTATTTCACATGCAACACGCGCTTTTATAGGAGAGAGAAAAGAGAGAGAGAGATGCACATAGACAAGAACAATAGAGAGAGAGGATACAGAGGAAAGAGGAAAAGAAGATCAATGGAGTATGACATCAATATCGGCACAACAACTACGCTAGAATAAATGGAAACTATTTAAATTGATGGTAATAAATGGAAATTTTCTTGTAGCAATGATGTTCGGGAAATGTTATTGATAAATTGTTCCTTAGAACACATTACACGAGAAAAGAAACTTATTCGAATGAAAACATCAGATAATGGATCAATTCCATCTAGATATTGTTCAATTAATTCAAAATTGTTGCAGTGTATATAGCACTACATCTTTCTAATATGTACAAATCACTTTTTTATTCCAGACCTGAACAACTAACAATGCTTGTATGATTCAAATGACATAAGGTTTTATACCAAACTTATCACAAAAAAAGATTAGCCTAATTACTATATAGTAAAACTTGAACAAGTTATCACCTTGTAATTGAAGAAACGATGAAAGAAAAAAGAAGAATATTAAATCAATAGAGTATAGCTATTTTTTTGCTCTGGTTTCTCGACACATTTAGTATTTATCATAAAAAAACCTGAACTTGTTATTTCTTATAAAATAGCAGTAAAAAGTTTGGCATACTTGTATTTTTTCAGGTATTTCCTTTGTAGTTATGGATAATACGAATCAAAAGGAAAACATTTGAGTAGCCAAAACAATTTTCTATCAAGCATGATATTTTCCCTGTTCTATTGAAATTTCAAGTGAAAAGATTTTCTAAAAAACTAAAATTCCTAAAAACAACAATTTGTTAGATTTTATCGGAATGCTTTTCCGAATCAGTTCATATGACAAAGCAAAGATTTCTGAGCATAATGCGACATTTCTTAATTCCCTATAACCTGTCTTCATAAAACTATTCTTAATATATGAAACGCTCCGAAGCATAAAGCATAAGAAACATTCAAAAAATGACTTTGCGACCATTGATAGACAAACTGCAGTGTGAAAAAGAAAAATCATGAAGAGCTCTACAGAGTGCCATACCCTTCTCTCGATTGTCTGTTTAGTGGCTCTGATAGAAGAAGAAACAATCTAAGTTTCAGATAATATATAAAATGTATTCATGAGCGTTCTTTCATCATTCGCCTGAGTATTTCTTTTGTTTGATTACAAATATGAAATCATTCAATGCTACATAAATACTCATCTCAGAGCAATGGAAATTCGTGTCTATGCATAATACTGACAGTGGCGCGCATGATATTGATTTCCATGTTGTCGAATAGAGTTATAGTCGGCTAAGCATAACCAGCAGAATTCATGTTTGCAATTGCGACATGTCATGTGGTCACATCCCTCATTTTTTTCAATAGATGCATTGCATCCAGGACATTCCTTAGCATGATCACGCAACCAGTTTTGATTTTGTTGCTCTTGTAGATTGGAATTCAATTTTCGATCATATTCTGTGCAGGTCATCCCAGAATGCCACTTAACTCGATGATGAGCACACGTTTTTTTTTCGCAACGTCTACACTTGAAAATGGGACCTCCATTATCAGCAAGTTGACCACCCGAACCGCATCCATGGGCACACCACACCAAGTTTTTCATTCTCCCGACATATCTCATACTCAATTGATCTTCATATCGACCCATAGTTGTTATGTAGCGATCAGGATGTGGGTTGAAATCAACTAGAACTCTGTTAACCGAGTCAAAATCAAACAAAGCATTACAATCTTGCTCTGGACACTGGACGTCCGTTGTAGAACGATCATTAACAGCATTGTATGTATTCAGACGCACACAATCAGTACAAATTTGGCGTTGAACATGTTGGCATGCTGAACTAAAAACCTCACCAAAGTCAGCAATGGATTTTTCATTGAGACAGACAACACATTCACGAGTGCGCGGTTTCGCTGTTCTAAAAAGATCATATACACATATATATGAAACAAAATGAGAGAGAGCTCATTATTTACGGAACTCGTGGTAGTCTAAGCGTTTGTTGTCGAGCAGACGACTTTCTAGGTGCCGGCGATGAAGCAAATCTTTGTATTGATGAAAAAGGTCTTGACGCTGAAAAATGTCAAAATTTCATTTCTATCGTATGCAGCTCTGATGTTCGAAAACATAAATCTAAGAATGTTTTAAATAGAATAGTACAAGCGAGTATGATTTCTAAGCGCCCCAGTGTATAAAATTTTGATCAGTAGTCAAAACGATAGAATTCAGCATGTTTTCTCACCTGCTAAACACTCGTCGAATGTTCTATAAGTCGAAGCATATTCTTCCTCTTGCTTACAGCGTGAAAGGGAATTTTCCAAAACTACGGTTGGTTTTACTATTAATCGATTCGGTAAAGGTGTGCGACCTCGATGCAGGAGCTTTGTTGATTCGTACCATGGCGTTGAAACCCTCACTGGAGTTCGTGCTTGTTGAATTACAGGCGAAGGTGACTGCCTTATCCGACTAAATACACTTCGCTCTTCCGGAACTATTGAATAAAGAGAAAGCTAAAGTATCATAAGCTAAAACCACATCATTGTTTACTGTCTTCCAATTCAATGCTTGAGCTTTCGGCAGCTGTTTGAAAAAGTAGATTAGTCAGTGCTGTAAGATCTTGGTAAATATATTTAACTTACTTGATTCTTCGTCGTCTCGATCGACGAGTCCAGATTCCTCGTATCTGATAACAATGCTTATCGTAATAGAATAACTTTGTGGCTATTTATTACCTTTGTTCTAACTCCAAGCGAAGTGTACATTCGAGTTGGTCACAATGAGCCCGCCGTTGCTCGTATCTTGTTTGGAAGGTTTCCTTAATAAGAAGCATAGAAAAATATCTATGGTCAAATATCTATTATATTTACTGGCTGTCGTGAATATTCTTCACATTTTGTCATCAAATTCAAGTATTCAAGCGCCTTGCAGTAAGCTACATATGCTAGTTCTTGATCTCCTTCCACGTCTAAATATTGTTTTGCTTCATTTTTGACCTTCCGATACAGTTTTTGCAATCGTTTGAATGTTAATGGTTCATTACACTCATGATGAACACCAATTTGAGCACGTAAGACAGCCATACTTTTAGCGAGGTAAAGAGGTATCGGTTTCACCATTTCTCTCTTGCTCACGATAACGTTAATCGATGAATATAATAACACAGGTTATCTCACTTGACTTTATATATATTTTTTTATTCAGAATTCTTATCTTCAAAACACTTCTCAACAATTTACGACAAACAAATATCGTACTTTTTTGAAGAAAAAGCTCTATAAACACTCATGTATCTAATCTCATAGTGGCGATACTTTTCAATTCTCATTTGCAGAGAAAAAAAATAAACGGGAATTACCAAGTTCATGTGTAATTGCCAGCTCATGTGATGAACATCTCCATATCTAATAAAAATTCCGGATTTGTAGTGCTCAACGCTATGACCATGTTGATACCAAGTAGCAACGGTTCATAATTGCACTTTTCTCTCCAAAATGTTTTCGAAAAACAATACATCACGATAATAGGACAATCATGAACTATAACATGAACATATTTACTCACCTTAGCTCTTCATTAAGGTTTTTTGCACCTGACTCCCCTCCATAAGGCACACCTGAAATTCTTTTTCTCTTTGTATGTTGATGAATAAGAAGAGCAAGTATGAATCATAAACATTGCGTCAGATGACACACAATCTATAGAGATTTGGACAGATTTTTGTTTAAAGAAAACCAAAATCAAAACTCAATCCACTCATATATCAAAGAAAAACTCTAGATGCTCAAGAAACTAAAATTTCGTTTAAAAAAAAGTTAAAGAACATTCTATGGAAGAGGTCCAGGAAAAAATTTCTTAAAAGATCACCAATTTTACAATAATTATAAGAAATCGGTTAAATAAAATTGTTTAGTTCGACAAAATAACAAATGGTCTATTATTCTGTATAACAATCCAAATTTCAGTACTCTGATCGAACAACTTAAGTACAAAATAGTCCAAATCTGTTAGTTGAAAGATTTATTTTTAGCTCCTTGTAGTAATTGATGGAATTTTTTGGACAATATGGAACCAATCTGCATGTATGGTTGATA